CACGAAGATATCCGGATCCATGCCACGGACGTCCCCGCAGGAGGATTGTGGAGACATTCGTCTTCCCATGTTTGCACAGTTCATCGGCCGCCCATAACATCGGCGACTGGCGAGGACACACGCATCAACCGGCCACGCTCGTCTTTCCGGTCACCGAATTTCAACACACAACGGTAGACGAACGTCGCCACCTGACGCTTCTCCAGGGAAACACATCCATATGTCCGCACTTGAGAACTGTACCATCGAAGCAATTACCGACGGACGTCCCCCAATTGTAAAAATGCTGTGTGGACGGCAGGCCGGCCTCGGTATCGAGGTATCGGAGGAATTTTCCGTACTACGTCAACAAGGGCACAGAAGGGTCATGTCCATGCTACCAATAGGGCACGCACGTCTTTCCATACAACCATACACGGACATCGTCAGGAAATGTTGAGGCAGCCCCCGACGAACGTACTTCACGCTTGGGAAATGTGCTGTTTGAACAGCCTCCGACCACCGTCGTCAAGAATGCTGTTGCCAGGGGGCAAGGAGACGTCCCTGCCCGAAGTCAAATGACGAGCAGGGATGGACGTCCTAACAAACTACTTTGCAGCAGAATATTTCGAGGCACGGAATGAATTTCCATACAACAAGAGACAAAGGGAACGAATTTTGGCAAAATGTGGATCTTTATTCTTCAGCACTATCGGCTGGAAACTACAAGTCTACGAACTGCAATAACTCTAGGCTAAGAGATAAATCAACACATGTGGGGGGACGGCGGTCGGCTGTTGGCCTGAGTATGTTCCTCCTCCCGAGGCTCGGGCTCAGGGGTTGGGGGCTCCGGGATATTCCCCATGGCTATGGCCGCCGCCCGGCGTCTATCCCGCCCTATTTTCCCCAGGGCCTCGATCAGTAGATCGTCATCCGTGTAATCGGCTGGGTTGACGCCAGGGCCTAGGAGCTTCTCGAAGATTGGGAGGATGGCCTTGATCCCTTCATTATAGCCACCGGCGAAGGCGCTATCGGCAGAATCATAGAGGAATTGGCGCGACAGGGGGGAGCTTTCCATCAGCCGCACACCGAACCTCAGACGGTCCTTCGCCGGAATTTTCCCCAGAGCATGAGAGAACACGTCGCCAAAAGCCCCGGCGCAGAAGTCCTTGGCCGACTCCATAAACTCGCCGGTATTCCGGTAACCGGAGGTATTGATGCACCATTCCGGGGTGGCATCTTTTGGGGCCGGAAGTACCGGCATGAGCTTGAAGCCGGCCTTCTCCAGGCAGGCCAATTGGGCGCCGGTTTCAGCCCGGAGGGACTGAAGCTCCTCCCTAGCCGAAGCAGCCTCTTCCTCTGCCCGACGGGCGGCCTCCCGAGCCTTCAGTATGGCGGCTTCGGCCTTGATCTTTGCCTCCTGCAGGGCGGCATCCCTGGCAGCTTCGGCCTGCAGCACCAACAGCCCTGACTGAAAGAAAAAATGGGATAAACAGAGTTTAGACGGCGAAGCGACGAGCGTCAAGGGGACAAGATGGGTCGAATCGCAACAATACCTGGATGGCCGCAGCAAGAGCAGCGCTGGTCGCCTCGGAAGACGACCGGGGGGGGCAGTTCGAGGCCGGCTTTAGCCCCAAGCTCCCTCCAAAGCTCCTCAGCCGGCCGGCTCAGGGATAGGCCGCTAACATCCTCAACGATGGGGCCGGGGGAAACACAGTCTCGCCCCCTCTTCGTTTTCTTCTCCGGGGCCTTCTCGCTCCCCTTCTTGGGAACCGCTTTTGTGGCAACGACCGGCGGGGGGAGAGCAGTTTCAGCATGATGAGTCAGGGCCCCCTCGTTCAGCAGGGTGGCAATCAGGTGCTGCTCACCGTCTGCAGTCCGACGGGCGGCGTCGGAGGCCGACGTTCCGGCTCCATGGGCGGCTGCCTCTCTGGCCGCTTTGGCCGCAGCCATCTTCGCCTTCCTGTTCCTCAGGCACTCAGCATTGTCCATTTGTTCGGCGGAAAGGGGGAGACCTGCAAGAGAGAAATACAAGAATATGAAAAGACGAACAGGGATAGGGAGGAACACCCACCTCATAGGACAGGACCGCCCGTGCCCCGAGACGAGCGTCCAAGGGAGGAAGAAATCCAGGAACACGGGCGGTACCTATGCCTGCTTCAGAGAGTGCCTCGACGGTCAGGTATTCCCCTATAGGGCGAACGCCGCCTTCCAGGACTTTCTTCACTTCCACTTCCAGCCCGGCCGACAGCGCCGGTGACTCAATCTTCGGAGGGTAGCCGTTCCACCGGATTGGGAGGGGAGGACCGTCATATCTAAGAAAAAAGAGCCTATTTTTCCAATCATGGATGGAGGAAGGATAGTGCTCAAATAGCTTCCTCTTCGGACGAGCGGCCACACTCAGGTAACCGTCGGAATTCTGCGGGGTGACCCGGTAGAAGTATTGGAACAGATCCAGCGATATGACGGCTTTTGCGGACGAACAGCGCACGAGGAATGCGGAGATAAATCTATAAGAGTTGGGCATGAACTGCGCCGGAACCACCTGGTAGCAGTTGAAGAACTCCACGTAAAAGGGATGGAGAGGAAACCGCAGACCGGCCTCCACAGAATCCACATGCAGGATGACCATCCCCGGCCGTCGCCGCATGGCATGTTCGGCCCCGCTATGGCTAAAGACGAACGGATGGGGAAAAAAGGAAGCAATCTTGTTCATAGCGACGCTGGAGAGGGACTGCCTGTGCTCTAAGACACTCTTAATCTTGCAAATGTGCCTCTGCACATCCATGGGAATACCTAAATCGTGCACCTCCAGGTCGGAGCCAGATTGGGCCTCGTCTGCAGAATCATAACCGGCGGGGCGCTCGTTCAGGGGGATGGCGTCAATAACATCTACGGCCCCGTCAGCACCCCCGTCCCCGGCGTCGCTCCCACTACTTTGCGACACATTATCCGGCTCGCCATCAGCCCGGATGGTCCCCACCGTCGTGGCTGAACCAGAGGTCCCGGAAATGCTGGCCTTCCCGGGGGAGCGAGCACTCACATCGGCCGAAGAGGAGCCCGAGGAGGAACCCGACGAACCGGAATCAGAGCTTGACGAAATCTCCATCGAGGTCATTTCGGCTAGGAATCAGAACAAGAAAAGGGGCAGAGGTGGGAAATTACCTTACAAAGGGGTTAGCCGGATTCAGAAGAAGACTTGAAGAGCTGCGGAAAATCGGGAGCAAGAGAGCAGAAATTGGGAACCCTAATTCAGAGGGAAAACCCGGTATTTAAAGGAGAAAACACCGATGGCGAAGCCAACAAGGGGCCGACACGTGGCAAGGAGCGTACCCCGGCCACGCGCTGTGCGTGGGATGGGAACGTAATGATGACACCTCCTCGGGAAAATGCACCGCCGCAACATCAGCCGTCATCTCGTTTCCTGAACCGGCGACAGCTGTCAAGCACCATGACCACGAGCGTACGCTTCCACCAGATGCAATAAACATAAGTATCAAGATACGGACGTCTATTTCGGGGGGGTTCATACTTCCTTATGTCCTGCGCATGCTCAGAACATCAGAAGTGGGGGACTTGTGTTGGGTTAAGGGCCCAAGCCGAGGTCCGGCCCACTAACCCATTTTGCCAGACGAACGTCCAGCTAGGAACCAGGCCAGCCCGCAGGCCCATGTCTCTTGAGGATGGACGAACGTCTGGTGTTGGAGGACTCAGGCCCAGCGGCTCATCCCGACGAACGTCTAAGCAGGGACAAGGAGCGGAGCCACGGGCCATCAGGGGTGACGACGGACGTCTCCTGAGCAAGCCCATAGCCATCGGAGGAGACCCAGCCCACATGGTGAGAATCCATCAAGGCCAGGAGACGAACAGCCAATATCCCTCAAGGGTCACTTGGAGGAATCCAACTCACTTCCCGGGTGGACGAACGTCCCCACTATTCCGGCGGGAAACCTAGATTCTGGCGGGAAGTGCATTTAATGCTAAAGATTTGGTAGTTGGGACACCAGCGGTCCACAGGCTGCCACGTCAGTACAGCCACCTGCCCATTGGCGGGTATAAATAGAAGCATTTATTTCATTGTAAAGGGTTGGCAACTTACTATTCTTAGCATACTAGCTCCAGCATTCTTACGAGTAGCATTTCTATCGCCTTGTAAGACGAACGGCCGACGTGCCCTTTTTAGCAAGTAGATTGTACTTAGGGGAGTTATTACGAAGTTAATAATACCTATTTACATTGCCTGCTATTACTCTTGTTTCCTGATTCATCTGATAGTTGTTGGGCTAGATAACCACACACTCACTCCACTCGAAATCTTTGGGCTTACGTGTTGGGTCCAAGGGTTGAAGGAATAAACCTCAACAGTATGTATGTATGTATGTATGTATGTATGTATGTATGTATGTATGTATGTATGTATGTATGTATGTATGTATGTATGTATGTATGTATGTATGTATGTATGTATGTATGTATGTATGTATGTATGTATGTATGTATGTATGTATGTATGTATGTATGTATGTATGTTCCGGACCAGTTTTCTTTCAAAAATCATTTGACGACCTTCCTGATTGAATTTTTTGCTCAAATTTGGTATGGATGAACTAGACTTGATGAGGAACATACACAAAAAATTTCAGCTAAAAATACCACCGGTTCTCGGGGTTCTCACGGCTTCTCATTTTAAGAGGGGTTCTCACTAGAACCCTCCCATATATATATATATATATATATATATATATATATATATATATATATATATATATATAGAGAGAGAGAGAGAGAGCAATGGTCCTATCAGGTCGGCCTGACAGGATCCGCCAGCCAGCCAAACCCATTTGGGGCCTTGTCCGGTGAATTTTTTATGTAAAAAATTTGAGCTTCAACAAATATAGATTAACACCACAAAACTTCATCTTAAAATTTAATCGGAAAGTCAGTTAACTGAATTGTTGAAAGATACTGCGCTATATGAATATAAATAAAGGTATCATCACCATTCGGTTGAAGTTACCGACCTGAAGTTCCTGGGACATAACTGCAGGAGGTAGAAGGCCACGCAAATAATAGGCATCTCTCTCTTGATCACTAAATGCAAGCCCTTTATTGTAGTGCGGATCACGCATCAAACTATATCCACTGTGAATGAAATTTCGAAACACATTGTGCGTGAATTGAAAATGTATCCCTTTATTATTACATTTATTTATTACTCCATTCGTCCCATAAAATTCTTCCAACATTTCATTTTGAGATGTCCCAAAAACAATTCTGACTTACCATTGTTGGAATGTTTTGTGTAGCTAATGTTCATTTTTTTTCTTATACAACTACAACCATAAATTATTTCCACTTTATTCTCACTTTCTTGATAAGCGTGTCAAGTCATGGGAAGTATTTTTGGGATGGAGGGAGTATACGATAGATCAAAAAAATTAATAATATATAAGCAGAATAACCTATGACCTAATTAAGTCAAGTAGTTCGGAGATATAATTGGGTAAAATGCATAAAATGATACTTTAACTCTTGGTAATGTCGCATTTTGGTACATTAACTTTTAAATGAAACAAATTAGCACCATAATTATACGTAAATGTCTCAATTAACAATACTATTTACATTTACAGCCAAAAAACTTATGTGTAGATCCAAATTCTATGCTTAGAGTCCACCCTACAGTGATGATATGGACAAAAGTAACGTAAAATGGGCTTTATGCATGGAATTCCAGTTGTCACATAGAAATTTTTCATATGAAATTTGAATAATATTGTGAGTTGAAACAATTATGTATAGTTATAACACTGATTTGATTTATTTAAAAATTAAGGTACTAAAACGTAACAATTATGTATAGATATAGTTTATGCATTTGAGTCGATATAATCTCACGTACTAGCTAGTATATGACACTCCTATGATATTGAAATTTTATAACTAAATTTCTAGTGTTAGTTTGATTTTATACTAATGTATTTCGTCATGCAACCCAATTAATTCAATTAGGAACCAGAAAAATCACACAAGTTTCACCAATAGTTTACCTTTTAAGAGAGACATTGAGGCTATGTTTTGCTATTGTTTAACTTTTTTTTAGAAGTGACTTTGTAAAGTGATTTTTGAGAAAGTAATTAATGATAAAAGTTGGAAGTGTTTTAAACTAGAAGTGATTAAAGTAAAAAAGTTAAAGTAGGAATGTTTGGTAATAAAGTGACGGTGAAATTATATGTTTATGAAAATACAAAACTATCCTTCCCTCGTGAATCATGCTCACTAGCCTCACACAACAATCGTAATACTCCGTATAACCTCACCCTCCCTGTGACAAAGCTTTCAATTCTCAATTTCTCATACGCACGGTTCCTGATTTCTACACCTCTAATTTCTTTTGTATGTCAACAACAAAAAACGAAATCTAACCCTCTGCTATAACAACAAAATCGATTACGAATAGTGAATTTGGATTCTTCCCCCTCCCAAAATCGACAAACTCAGGCTGATTACTGTGGAGAGAACACCCATCATCAACTGCTAGAAAATTATTTTATTTTTGGGTGAATGAAAAAGCTCCACAATTTTATTCAGTTTCAGCCGTTCTCCGAAAACATTCCCTAATTTCTGCAGATGGGGATGTGCGACACAGAAATTGAGGGGATGCTGCGACAAGGTGATGCTTGAGAAGGGTAAGGTTGGGTATGGGGAAAAGTGATGGATATAACTACCCTCAAATTTGTATTTATTTACCAAAAAAAGCAGATAGAAGCATGGTGGAAGGTGCTTCCAGCTTTTACCCTATAATCACTTTTACTAAGCTGAATCTTCCCTTTGCAAACGCTCAAAATAGCTTTTTTTTTTGCTAAAGGGTCAAATAGGTACATGAACTAACTTAAAGTGTTCAATTAGCCCCTTATATAGGAGGTTCAGCCCGGCCATCGCCAATTGGAGAGGTTCCCGGTTGAATTTTTTGATGAAATTTTTTTAGCATCTTCTTCATTAAGTCTAGTTTACCTATACCAAATTTCAGCTAAAAATTCAACCGGGAAGGTAGTCAAATGATTTTTTGAAATGTGTTGCGCTGTTTAACTGCGCAGTTATCTTCAAAAAATTATTTGAATGCCTTCCCGATTGAATTTTTAGCTGAAATTTCGTATGGGTAAACTAGACTTAATGAAGAAGATGTTCAAAAAATTTCATCAAAAAATTCCACCAGGAACCGCCCCAATTGGCGACGGCCAGGCAGAACCTCCTATATTAGGGGCTAATTGAACACTTTAAGTTAGTTCATGTACCTATTTGATCCTTTAGCCTTTTTTTTTAATAAAAAAGCCAAAAGTGCTTTTCAAAAGCAAATGAAAACACTGCCTGAATGTCTGTTAAAAGATAGGATGATATATAGAAGAAGTAATTCAATGTATGTCTTCTTACATACATATTGATTTGTTTATATGTTTACATATTTTATTGGGGCAAGGCAGATAATTAACTTGAAGAAGGGTAAGCTAGGGAAAAAGTATGTACGTATATTTTACCTAGCGACGGAGAAAGTCCACGGGGTGATAGAGAGATGCTCAGTGGCAGAATCCTCACCGTAGATATCCCCCACTCCACCGCCCAGATACTCCTCACCTCCGGCCATCTCTAGCTATACTACTCGGTAAGATCGATCACGCACAGTATGTTACGTTGAAGGCCGAATAGAATTTAGATCGGTTTGTGGGAAATGCATGCACGGCACTGCACGCAGGGTCAAGAAAGAAAATAGGAGGCCCCCGCTTTATTTGGGAGACCAATTCCAAAAGCTACCTTTGATTTTTGAATACTTTGCGTTTCTACTTGTCTCTCAATTAGCACTTACTTTCATCGCGGCCCAACTACAAATAGATTTAAGGGAGCACGGCGCTGGATGGAGCACTATCGGCGGTCAACGGCAAAAAGTGCAAATTCCGGTGGGCATCGGCGAATCGGCTCCTCGAGTCCCGCTGGTGTGAGTGAAAAAGATCCAAAACTAAAAGATTAAGACTCCATTCGATGAGCTTGTTTTTCGGCTTATCAAGCTCATCAACCATTTTTTAATCAAATACGTAACTTTTGTATTCTCGTGTTGAATTGTGTAATAATTGTAGGGATCTTCCACCTTCTTGGAAAGTGCTCTCCAATATATAAACATGGGAGAAGATATGGAGATAACTAGGAACCTTGGATGCAACTTCCTTTTGTCTACAACTAGCCTATAAATAGAGTGTTTTGTTCATAGCATAGCCATGTCAGTGCATAGCCAACTGTACCCACATCATCAGCCTGCGTGTGTGCACACTGGGCTGCTGCCTGAACCGGACCGAATCGGTTCGTACTTGTGGAGGCCGGTTCAACTCCATCCAGGCCGGTTTTGGATGAGGTCAGACTGGTTCCTACCATTTTCGACCATTCCGGATTCAACGGTGAGCTCCGTTTGTCCAAATTAGGCTTCTAATTAAGGTACAAGATATATTGAGCGTTTTATTATGGATAAATCATCATCGGACACCAAGAGTAGCATCTGAGAAACGTTTGTAGCTTTTAGCATTAGTTAGTCTGAACAACTTGTATACCAAACAGAACTAAATCAAACAATCAGCTTTTTACCAAACTCTACCATCTTTTTTTATAGATATTTTCAGTGTCAAAAATTAACATATACTAAAAAAACTCATAAAAGTATCTTTTCAGCTACTTGTACCAAACATTTTCACATGAACCTAAACTCCCCAAATATTGTATTTTCATATACACAAATATGATTTATTATTAATTTCTTTTTTTATATCTATGAATGATGATATAAAATTTATAAACTTATCTCTCCATCTCTAAGAACCGTCATCTTTGAATTTTTTTGGTCAATCAAGTTAAACTTTGATACGACATTATTTATAATATAAATTAAAAATGATATGGAAATATTCTTTGCTATAGAGAACCAATGTTCTAAAAGGCGCTAGGCGTTAGTCGGGCGCCAACCCAGCGCCTAGCGCCTAGTCGCGTAGGCGGGCGCCTAGGCGGGAACTAATCGGAGACATCAAAATTGTAGTTTTATCAATACTTTGCATAAATATGATTAGTAATGTTGTGTTTGTGTGTGTATAAAAATATACACACACACATACACATTAACATGCATGAATGATAGAGTTATCACATTTAATAATATATTATATCTACTCACTTATTCATTAGTAGCTTTCTTCACATGCATTGTCAAAGTTAATGGTACATATATCTTAGGATACTAAAATAAAAAGAATAAAAAATTGTTCTATGAATCTAGACGCCTAGGCAGCCCATTAAGCGCTCCGGGGGGGCAACTAGGCGCCCTAGACGGCCGACGAATTCACCTAGGCGTCGATTCAATTAGTCGGGGCGCCTGGACCAAAATCGGGGTGCCCGACCACCGCCTAGCGCCTAGGCGGGGACTAGTCAGGTGCCTAGAGCGATTTTTAGAACAAATGTAGAGAACTAGCACTTGATGATTCCTCCGAAGAAGTATTTGGAAATAAATTCTTCAACCTCTCGAAGGCTTGTTCTATTTCGGGGTTTGTTTGATAGGTGAATTGATTTATAGATCGGGTTCTTACCATATACTCAAACAAAGCTCAAAAAATAAATAGAAATCTTTATATAAATGTATATTTTTTTTTCTTTTTCTTAAAATAAAATAAAAAGAAAAATTAATTGCCTCTCCCCGGCAACGGCGCCAAATTTGACGAGCACTTTGTCTCGATGCGTCAAAATAAATTCAATACTAGCACTAATACGTAGTATAATGAAGTACAGTTCGTATCCACAGGGAAAGGAATAATTCTCTTTTTATAAAACTAGTAAATAAGGGGGGTTTTGGGATTGAATGATTTAATTTAATTAAATACGAATATGAACGACTTATATGAGATTTAATTCAAAGATAAAAAGGACTTGGCATTGCTACTTTCCACTTGTTGATATATTTTAGTCGATCATTGTGATATCTATATCTTATCCCCTCTCGAATACTCAATCAATGAGTATATCCAATTCATCGAGGGTAGTTATTAACAACGACCATTCATTAATAACACCGCCATATACCGACTTGATAGTAGCATTTAATCTCTTAACTCCTTGATGAAATCAATTAAAATTGATAACCTCAACACAACGGTTTCGGTTTAACGAACAAAATTAATCCCTCTTAAGTTTATTAACCACGACCGTGCATTAATAACCCGAAGTTACTTACTTGTGAAACCATCAACGATTAACCATCGGTTCGTTGATCGTTTCTAGTAGTAATTAATGTTGGAACGTTAACTAATCGTCACTTAGCAACCCTCCAACTATAATATAGAATGAGATTAAGTGAAGAATTAATATTCAAGGAAGAAGATTAAATATGAGTAATCCTACTATAACTAATGGCAAGAGGTTATCTAATTGTCATCTTAGCAACACTCCCCAACATTAATATATAGAGGAAGAAAATAAATACTACTATAACTAATATCGAGATGTTAACTAATTGTCATCTTAGCAACACTCCCCAACATTAACATATAGATAGATTAAGAGAATAATAATATTCAAGGGAAGAAGTTAAGAAAATAACTCACAACTTTAATAATCAACAAGCTTCAAGAGCAACACCAAGAAATGGGAGTTTAGCTCCTCATTTAGAGACTAAACATGCTAGAAAAATATAAAGAAATGCTATTCTAAACTGAGCTTAAGAGAGTATGTGAATTGGTATCTAATTGTGAAGGGAAAGAGGTGTATTTATAGGCGTTTTGGGAGTGCAGCTCGGGTACCCGATCGAGTAAGGGTACACATAGGGTACCCGATCGGGTATGTGTAAAAATGTTAATTCGAACGGAAATTGTCCTAAATAGGACTAATGAGTTCCTAAAAAGCACAAATAGGACTACTACTTTTAAAATTCCCTAAATAAGACTAAACATTGATTTTCTACCCTAAATACCCTTAAGAGTATTAATTCATAATGAAATGCTTTAATTCATAATAAAATCATAAAAAACGTAAAAAATATTTTAAAAACGTAAAAAAATTATAAAAAATTTATAAAACATTTATAAAATAAAAAAATTAATTTTTTATTTTTTTAATTTTTTTAAAAAAATAATAAAAAATAGTAAAAACCCATAAAAAATGAAAAAAATATGGATACCTTTCCCACCGCCTCCCGCCGCCTCCCAGCACCACCACCTCCGATTGGTGAAATTTCTTCCACTTTTGGTAAAAAAAATGCCACATTTTTCTGAAAATGCCAAAAAGATGGCATAATTACTCTTCAATATGCCAACATTTTCATTGAATATGCCATCATTATGGCATTATTTAAAATGTTGGCATATTTTTCTCCGGTGATGGGAGTTGGTGGTGCTGGGGGTGGCAGGGGTGGTAATGTTTTTTTTTTAATTTTATGATTTTCTTTTTATTTTTTTATTTTTTTTTCAAAAATATTTTTTTTATTTTTTTTTTAAAATATTTTTTATTAATTTTCTATTATTTTTTTACGATTTTTAGTATATTTTTCGATTTTTATAAATTTTTTATGATTTTATTATTAATTAAAACATTTTACAAGTTACAAGGGTATATTTGTCCAAACACACATAAATAGTCCTATTAAGGGAATTTAAAAAATGTAGTCCTATTTGTGCAATTTTGCCACTTTTTAGTCCTATTTAGGGAATTGACTCTAATTCGAAGCATACTCGATCGATTCCAGGGTAGAAATAAAAGGCATACCCGATCGGGTGTGTCGGTGTACCTGATCGGGTATGACAATCGATCGTGGCCAAATCTTTCCCTGTGCGTCCCTTTGTTTCCTGAAGCGATTTGATTGAAAATCAAGTTGATACCCGATCGAGTAAGGGTATACCCGACCGGGTATAGGTCAAAATCAGGAATTTTCTTCTTTTTGTCTTGTGCTCTTGCACCTTCCTTCCTCTTTTGGGTTCATCAAAGATCATTTGATTGATCTTGCACCTACTTTAGCTCAGAATAGACCTAATCTAAACATATTACAACTAAATTACAAACATAACTATTACACCAAAAGTGTGTAATTTCTGAAATATCAAACAACTAAAACTAGTTAAAAACATAAACATACACACGGAAATTACAAGCGTATCATGCACACTAGGCTGCTGCCTGAACCGGACCAAATTAAACCGGTTCGTATTTGTGGAGCCCGGTTCAACTCCATCCAGGCCGGTTTTGGATGAGGTCAAACCGGTCCCTACCATTTTCGACCATTCCGGATTCAACGGTGAGCTCTGTTTGTCCAAATTAGGCTTCTAAATAAGGTACAAGATTTATTGAGCGTTTTATTATGGATAAATCATCATCGGACACCAAGAGTAGCATATGAGAAACGTTTGTAGCTTTTAGCATTAGTTAGTCTGAACAACTTGTATACCAAATGGAACTAAATCAAACAATCGGCTTTTTACCAAATGTCTACCATCTTTTCCTTTTGAGATATTTTCAGTCATCAAAAACTAACATATACTAAAAAAACTCATGAAAGTATCTTTTCAGCTACTTGTACCAAACATTTTCACATGAACCTAAACTCCCCAAATATTGTATTTTCATATACACACATATGATTTATTATTAATTTCTTTTTTTATATCTATGAATGATGATATAAAATTTATAAACTTATCTCTCCATCTCTAAGAACTGTCATCTTTGAATTTTGTTTGGTCAATCAAGTTAAACTTTGATACGGCATTATTTATAATATAAATTAAAAATGATATGGAAATATTCTTTGCTAAAAGATACTCCCTCCATTCCATAAAATTCGTTTGACTTGCCTTTTTGGGATGTACAAAAAAAATCTTTCATTTTCTTTTTTGGAAAGTTTTGTGTGACT